AAAACACATCACATAATACATAAACTAAACGATTGGAAACCCGCAAATGATTATCCAAAATAACAAAATGAAATGGAATAGATATGGGTATTCAACAAATGAATCAATCACGTCAACCCCAAAAATTTAAAAACTAACAAGCACCAACATCTAAGAGCCTAAGTTTTTATGCTTAATATTAACTAAGCAATGAGAACTGAGCAAGATTATTATTTTTAAATCATTATAATATTATAATATTAAAAATAATTTTAATACATTTCCAAATAAATTTCTTTTTGAAAAACAATAATACCTCAACGCAACCCTCCTTAAAAACCTGAAAACCAAACCACCCAATTCACGTATCAACAAAAATATGGAAATCCAAACCAATTAAGCATCTTCCAAGATTTAAACAGATAAAAAGGAACGAACTTTATGCTCAACATTAACTTTCACAAATTAGAGAACAAACACCAAACAAACGCTGTAAAAAAGAAAAAGAAAAAACATGACTAAACAAATATAATCAACACAATACATCCTCTCTAGTCGCCCAAAAAAAAGAGACTGAGAATTTAAATTTGTATTATTTAGCTACGTTTTCTCAAATCTAAAACAACGAATAAAAATAAACAAAAAAACACATAAAAATGTAGAGAACCCGGAAAAGAATTAACAGATCTGCGTAAAAATCTGACCTCCAGAGCTTCGGCGAGGCATGGTGAGTTATAGAGGCGGCGACTAGATAGATGGACAGAGGGGGTGAGAGAGGCTTCGAGAGAGAGAGGGTTTTAACGTGCCTATGAACTCGTGAAACTGACCATAAAATCTGGACTTGTGATTTTTATAAGCGGACACCACTTGTTTATTTAATAGGGCTAGGGTTAGTTAGGTTGAAAACGTGGCAATATACTGTTGGCGTAGGCTAGGTTGAGGGCGTGATTTATCTTGTGTTAATGGTCATTTTCAAAGTATTTTCCAAGATGTCAGTATTCTGAGTTTAAGATAATAATAGAATATTCCATCGGGATGCTTTTTTTGAAGCTATTTTCCTCCTTTTCTTGAGGAAGAAGAAAAAAAAAATACAAGGTTGAGCCTAAGATTGTTATTAATATTTAATTAATTGAGTTTCTAAAAGATTGCACAAAATAATTTCTTGTATATTAAGATTTAATTAAATAAAAAATTAATTTTAATATGTCAAATTCGACACGATAAAATTCTCATTATTAAAATAAAAAAGCTAGTTTTGTATGACTATAATAATAAAAGTGGTATTACTCATATATGTTTTCATAAATAATTTTTTGAGATCATTAGAAATAAATAAATAATTTTTTAAAACAATAAAGGATAAACGATAATTATCTGAATCTACATGAAGAATATGTCCCTGCTTGACCAAACAAAAACCCTCAATTAAACTTTCTTAAGGTTCAGGCTCGGCTTCAGGTTCAGGTTGAAAAGGAAAGGAAAGGAAAACTATCTCAGGTGGCTGGGATACCTTGGCACCTTTTGCCCCAGTGGACTTAGAGATTTGGGCCTTAATATTGGGACCCTATGCCTTTTGTAGAAATGGAGCCCAATATCATGAAGGGCAATTGCATGTTGTCTGTTCACGTGGGAATTTCTCTTGATGATCATGCATGCAGGATTCCATGCTTATTGGATGAATATGTATAATTTTACCAGCATAGAGGCATGTGCCATGTATGAATTAATGAAGTCCATCGTGTCTCAAAATTTGTGTACGCAACTATTGGACATGCATGGAACAGTAATGATTTCTCTTGCAAGAGCAAGGAAAATAACCAGCATGCATGGAATATTTAATGATGGCTGGAATAATTGTAAATTTAGATAATTCTTAATTTTTTACTAGATTTAATTATTGGTTTATAGTGGTTAATTAATAATTAATAATGATGAGAATTAATTTTTTAATTTTTTAGCTTTTAAAAGTAATTATAAAATAAACTAATAATGTTTTAGATGTTTATACTATTCCTCACCTCATATTTTATGCTCATTTTATTCTTTTAGTTTTTTTTTTAATCTAGAGTTTAGGTTAATGTTATTAAAAGATTTTTGAGCTTTGTATTTTTTTGGTTCAAAAACATTGGGTTAGAAATGCTCCTAAACTAAGATGGCGGTGTTAGAATGTTAAGAAGCATATTGCATACATCCTAATTACACGAGTGATAAACAATAAAGTTTTAATAACAAATTATTTATAATTGATAACAATAAAAAAATTCATTACTTTAAAGTGATTCAATAAATATTCCTTTTGTTTTAATTTTATTCATTATTGACAATAACAAAAAATTATTCATCATTACATAGTAGGTCTTGAGTTCGAATCAGAGCGTGCATCTCTTATAAGAGCTTGAGATAGTCAGGGTTTTACTCGTTCATCTAAATCCACAAAATATGCTTTTCGAGAGGTGAAGTTTCCTCGAATCTAAAAAAAAAATTAAGTATTTTCTTCTTCTAGAGTTTATAGATTCAAACATGTATAAATTCTAGTATTTTCAAAAATATCTTTGTTTAGCATGCTTTTATGATTGATTATAAATTATTGATCCATGCTAATTATTTTTTAATTACAATCTTGTTATGATAAACTAAATATATTTGTGCATTAGTGTAATATATTTATAAACTTTGGTTCTACATGAACTTGTGAATTGATTTGAAAAATATAAATTTAGAGTTGATTCTAGTTGGATTTCTAGTTAAATTACATTGAATAAATGTTGTAAATAAATGTTGCCTAGAAAACTAGCTAGTAACTTTGCTTTTCTTGATTTTTACTAAACTGTTGGAACACCTTGTATATAGATCTTGGAGGTTGAATACTCAATGTACCAATCAAAGTAAAAGTAAAAACAATTATTTAAACAACATTGCAGTGTATATTTATTCTCTATTTTCCTCTCTCCCATCTTCTCCAAACATGCTGTGAATTGTATGTAAAATACAACCCCACTGATAAACCGAGTACTTGATGAATTAGTAACATGATTTGCTTTCCCTGGGATGAAATTCAGCCCAGCCAAAACCAAATGCAAATATATTTCAAGAAATCACTTACTAGCAAATTCAACAACTCAAGCATAACAAAGCTTTTTAACCTTTAACACTTCTACATTTATATAATAACTCAAGTTTTAGCACACCCAACAAAGGTCTCTCTGAAAATTCCCAAGTATACTACATTCAAGGGTAAAGGGAAATAAAGGTTAAGGTAGGCTATCGCGCAGGTAAAAGTGTATCTCCCTATAAGCACTGTTCCATGGTGGAGGGTTGTTTCGATGATGATCTTTTTGCAGTTGATTCAGGTGCTCTTCAGCACCTAGATCCAGTTGTTAAATCTGTTTCTTGTTTTTTGCTGGTCTATCAGAGGGCTTCTTAGCCCTCTGAAATCTCATGAGGTGATTAATCAGTTTGGTTTGCTACTTTCAGCTTGTTGTTTGCGGGCTGGTTTCCAGCTGCTGGTCCATTGTTGTTTGTCTGTTGTGGTGCAGGTTCAAGGATGCTTGCCTCTCAGTGGAAGAGCCTTGCAGCTGTCCGTTGGCCTTGCTATGTCCAGTAGTGACCTGGCCATATGCAGATTTATTATGCTGCTGCAGTAGGTGCAATGCATGGTTGTTTGCTGCTTATGGGCTGCCTCCAAGTGACATCTCTATCATTGGTTTGTCAATGGCGGTTGGTTTTGATGGGTGTCGCTTTTGCTGCCTTTGACTGTCCAATATTCCTTGTTGTACTGAATGCTCTGCTTTCCTACTGGAAATCCTGCATGCTGTAATGCAAGCTGCCGCAGGGTTGTATGACATGCTGATGTGCATGCTTTGCTATTTTGAACATGATTGCTAGTCATCTGGGTCATTCGGCTATCCTTCTATTGGAAACTGACTCCGTCTAGTTTGCTGGGCAGAGATGCTCTTCTCTTGTTGCTGGGGTTTGTTGGTTAATCGACAACCACTTTTGCTATTCAGGCTTCGCCCTGACACCTTTGTTCAGGGAGCATGTTCCCTTTGGCTTCTTTGGTTGTAAATTCTTGTCCGATACATTCATTTTGGGAGCCTGTTCCTTTTTGTTTGATAGGTTTTACATGCTTGTAAATTTGACTTGGTGGTTTTTAAGCTTTATTACTTTTGATCTATAATACGTACATTTCAATAAAAAGAAAGAAAGATAGGTTACAAATCCTCCTCTAGAGCATCGCAACTAAGAGAACCTACTGCAAGAGATTTCAGTTAAGGCCTAAAAGCAATTATAATTTTGAGAAGCCATGTTTATACCTTGCCAGAAAATTTCCCCAGGTAAAAAATTATCAATATTTCAATCTGAATGCTTTTCCCTTTTTGTAATTCTTTTTACCCTTCAGATTCTTAAAGATAAGTGCACAACGTACTTATTATTTTCATTATTTGTATGCGTTGGTGTGTTAATTGATTGGCGTTTGAAATTCATTTGTTTGGTTTGAGTACCACTCACTGTTTTTTCAACAAAAAGGTAAAAATGGAAATATAATCATGGGCATAAAAAGCTAGAAAATTTACATTAATGAAATGGAATATTGTGTTAGCTTTACAAGTTTTTGGTTGAAAATTCAGTTCAGCACAATAATGTTCTACATGTTTTGTGATTGTATTTTAAGTCAAAATTTTAAAGGTAATTTAATTAAGTAATACTATTATATCCAAGTGGTTGATTAGCTTGCTTTTAGTTAAATCCAGTAATCCTTAATTAATGAGAAACTTTAACTTCATAGTATAGTATAGAAGGTCTTTATTTTCTTATAAAAGAATGCTTTTATAAGCCTTTTGAATTTTAATTGTAATGTTGAAATGATATAAACTTGATTGCCTACTTGGATTTTTGTTCTAAACATCTTTAAATATTCATTATTGTTCTTGACATGGTGAAGGTAAAAGGGTATTGTGAAAAAAAACAAAAAATAAGTTGGATATTACATAATCAAAATTAAGGAACTTCTACTAATAAAAAAATTGGCATGGTCATGCATTATATGTCTTTTTAAGTCTTGGTTTTAACATAAGAAGAAAGAAAAAAAAGTAAAAGGTGTTAAAATGAAACTAAACATGGAAGCAAGAATTAAAGATAAAATAATAAAGAGGGCAAGAAATAAGAGAAAAACATTAACTTTAAAGCTTTGCTACTTTGTTTGCTAAACTTATGGCTTTATCCAATAGATCAATAACAATTGATACAACAAATCATCCATGCCTTTTATTTTTTTAATATTATCATTCATATTCATATCATCACTTTGTTTTTTTAATATTTATTCTTCCTTCCTGTATCTTTAATAGCATTCATATTCATATCATCACTTTGTTTTTTAATATTTATTCTTCCTTCTTGTATCTTTAATAGCTTACAAATTATAATGGAAAATCAAGAAAGCGAGAGAGGAAAAAAAATATTTTAATTCTTTAAACTAAGCAAACAAACACCAACCAATAAAAGATATTCTCCATTCAATGTTGATATCTCAAATCATAATAACCAACCCCTTTATAAATCTTAAAGAGTGGAAATTGATGTTAATACTCTTAAATGAGATCCTTGGATACATCTCTCATTATGGCAACATCTTGTTAATTAATAAGATAAAATTAGAAAAACTTATATCAAAATAAGTCCATATCAATCTAAGTTAGCAGAGTATTTGAGGACCAAATCAGGGAGACAATATCATCGATTTCAGTACACTTGATTTGATCAATGTCCTTTGTTAGAGCACTCTCTATCAAAGGATTCAATATTTTATTTTCCATGCTTTCTCTTTGAAATTAAAGTGATCGTCATTCCATATTCACTAATACAGTCTTTAGAAGTTAAAAAAGGGTTAGTGATGGTGTTAAATGTATATTTTTAATGCATATGAAAAGTTCCACTTCACCATATAATAATGTGGTAAAATTATTACATATTTAATGCAAGTAAGTAGATATATTGATAAAATATTGAATGCTTAAACTATTGAAGAAGTTCAGAAAAATTAATTATGACTTATGAAAACAATTAAAAGTGTTTAACGGCTTAACTTATAAGCAAGTGTATTAAAGGTCATAATAAATGTTTATCTTTTAGTAATTGAGGAAATTTTATGGAGATGATAAGATTCATAAGGAAAATAAATGTTAACATTGATGATATTGTCTTATAAAAAGCTTTAAAAACTGCAAAGTATACTTCATCGATTATTCAAAAAGAAATTTTGCATATTCTCACAAACAAAGTGAGAAAAAGAATTTGTGATGAAGCTGAAGATGCAAAGTTTTGTATTTTAGTTGACAAAGCCAAAGATGTATCAAATAAAGAATAAATGGCTATTGTTTTGAGATTTGTTAACATTCAGTGTTTTTTTTAACAAGAGCATTTTTTTTTAAGATTATAGATGTTTCATATACTACTTTTTCAACATTGAAATTTTTTTTTTTATATTCTCACTTGATATAAATTACATGTCCTCAATATATGAGGTCAATGGTATGATGGTTTTAGCAATATGCATGGCACATGGAATATACTACAAGCTCTAATTCTTAGAGATTGCTTTTATGCATATTTTATACATTGTTTTGCCCACCGACTAAAACTAGCATTAGTTGTAATAACTAGAAATGAGATTTTTATTTGGAACTAGCATTAGTTGTAATAACTAGAAATGAGATTTCTATTTGGTTTTTTTTTTTTTCAAAACTAATAATCATTATCAATCTCATTAATGTTTCTCCCAAACATCATACTAAAATACATTCTACTCAAGCTATAGAAATTGTACATATGGTAGCTACTAGAGAATATGAGACTGAGAAAGGAGCTAATCAAATTGGTAATTTATATTGAAGTGGAACTACTTGGTGAAACTCTTATTTTGATTATATGTGTAACTTGATAGATATGTATAGTGCAATAATTATTGTGCTTGAAAGTATGGTTGGATCTTCTCACTCTATATATGAAGAAGTTGGTAGTTGTTTAATAGTCATGAGATCTTTTGAATTTATATTCATATTATATTTGATGCACAAAATAATAAGAATTATTGATTTATTTCGTCAAACTTTGTAGCAAAAGTCTCTTGACATCTTAAATACAATGAATCTTGTATCAATTACTAAAAGCATTGCTTTGAACCTTGAGAGATGCCAAATTTTATCTTTTTCCTTGCATATATATCTATTTACATATAATATAAGATTAACATATCACATATAAATGCTTGATATGAAAAAGGCTATAAGTGGTTGATGTCAGCAATAAAGATTAGTAATAGTTTACTAACACGATCATTATGATATATTTTACCCAATAATAATTTTTTAATTGGAAGAGCTAAGTTCTAAATTCAGTAATGGAAAAATAGAAATCCTTGTACTTAGCTTTGTTTTAAAATGTAAAGACAACTTTATTAATTTAAAGTTGATGTTATTTGCAAGGTTTCTAAGAAATTTAATCCTGAAGATTTCAATGAACATGAAATGAATTATTTGATATCTCAGCTATAATATTATCATATTTATATGATTCATCATGAGAGCTTTTAGAATATATCTATGATTTCTGAATTATAGCGAGGACTAGTTGAAATAAATAAGTCATAACACCATCACTTGATTTTCAATTTAATTCATCTTTTTTTATGTTGCTTGTTTCCACTGCCATCATAGAACAAACATTTTCAACTATGAAGCATGTTAAAATTGTTCTTCGCAATAAAATAAAAGGTGACTTCGTAGCAGATTCTTTGATGATTTATATTGAATGAGAGCTTGATAAAGATATTGATTAAAATTTGATCATAAATGAATTTTATTCTACAAAACATCAAAGAGTGCAACTTTGATGGTGTAGTTTATTTTTACTTTTTTTCTAGTTTTATGTATTTTGAATTTTGTTTTGTTTTTTTCATATTTTATGTTATGTATTTCAATTGAAATTATATTGTTAACTTGATAAATTTTTGTATATGAGTTAATGATTGATCTTTAAAAAAAAATCTATATATCTACTTAGTAGCCCAAGGCGGAAAGAATTATTGACTCCATTCTAAACTGCACTTTTGTTAAATGTAAGATATGAATTGAAAAATTAGGTCTATTATCATCAAAACATTAGGTTTTCATAAGCAACATGTCATAATCAATGATAATATCAAACAAGAATCCTAAAGATACCATTTGGGAATGGAAAAAGAAGGCTTACATGTAAACATTTAAAGCTCAAGTGAGGAAACTCCTGAAGGAACAATAATTGCAACCTAGTTTTGAGTTCATTATCTTCTTGATCTGGAAAAGCTATAGAGAATGAGTTATTATGACACTTTTTAACAAGTTAAGGCCTCTATGGTTCAAGCTCTATAAATTCCTCTTCAGCATCACTATTATCATCCCTATTTATGTCTTCAACATCTTTTATACATGTAAACCTGCCAAGATTTCTTTTCAGCTCATCCACCAGCATATTACCAACACCAATAATATCGTGACAAAAGCTCATGTTGATTATACAGCACACTTGTAAACCCCGGTTAAAAACAAAGGAATGGTATGAAAAATGTCGGTATGAACATTGACGAGAAAACAGTAATGTTGTCATGGCATAGGAATAAGCCATAAATGACTAAAAAGGGAAAATAAATATAGTAAAGTGGCTCTAAGGAGATAGTAAAATGATTGGGTGTTTTACGCAAAATGAAACAAGGAGATTTTCTTTTTTGGTTGAAAATTCATAAATCAACTAGTCTTACATTAAAAATTCATAACTCTTAATTGGGTTGCCAAACAAATATGAAAATTTGCATAGAGACTTATAAATCCCTCAAGTCATCGCTTAAGAAACATTTGTGTTTTCGGCGAATCCAGTCATGGAAAGGAAATAGAGTTTTTAGAATCAGCAAATCATCTTGGTTAGGTACTAGCTGAGAGAAAGATTCATTTGAAGTATGGAGAAGATAGCCTTGGGTTAATAGAGGGAGTGTCAATAGCTGTATTTTTAGGAGGTAGTCAGGTTTTGGGGGTTGTCCCCAAAGTTTTAGCATAAAGGGAGATCATTGAAAAAATAATTGGAGAGGAACTACATGTCTCCACAATATCTAATTGAATGAATGTCATGCTTGAACACGTTAATCTGTTTAATAGCATCCAACAAAGGTATATTGATCCTTACCTGTTTGAAAGTTTCAAAGATTTCAGAGTTGTGATTGACTTTTCTTTATTTGGTCATGACATTAGGAAATAGAAGTGCTGGTGGGGAATTAGTCTTTTCTTTGCAATGTTCAGCTTCAACCCCTACCCTCAGATATTAACTCATCATCTTTCTCACAAGGTTCAATAGTGGGTTT